ATAAGAACTACGTTTACATTATTTCGTCTAAGTTCTTATTAAAGATCTACCGGTAAGCTTTATGCCCTAGTTAAAACGAGAATAAGTAAATTAGTCGATTGTAATCAAGGCTTAATGACTAAAGGAAAAACCCAGCCTGTCCATTATGAGTTTATATAAGAAGTAAGATAGAGCCGGAAATTATGATAGACGAAGGCTTAGTCTGTTTCCATCTGAAATGAAGGAGGGCGTCTTATGGGCTGTGCCAACTTGAACGTCATATTAAAGCCAAATTGTTGCAGTACAACGGGAATCAGCCGTTGTCTTCTGGTGAGATCGACCTACGAATCTGATCTTCATGCACTTTCGTACAAAATTATAGTCTCTCCAACAAGGTTATCTTAGAAAATTAGCCTAAATCAAGTTAGTCTGCAATTTTTATAGTAAATACAACATTTATCCCCCAGTGATTTCACCAGAAAAAGTGGTGTAAGAAAACCCTGACCTTTCTTGCAAGTCACTTCTTTACTGTGGCTCAAGAGCGCTTATGGCAGTATGTTGTAGTGGTTAACGTGTCGAGTCTATACGCTGCACAACCACAAATCGGGCTCGAGTCCTGCTGGGGGAGCTGATGAAACCTAGGTGAGGTCGAAACGGTAATTCAGCCTGGATGTTAACAACTTTTAGTAAGCAGAGCTATGCTACATATAATGGAAACGTAAGGTATACCCATAGCATCGTGGGAGAATTCAACCACCAATCCTTCATCACTTTAACCGAACAGATCTAATAAAAATCTGATTCTGTATCTAATTATATCCCTTCTGTATAGCAGCTTCATTGACTGTTGGGCTCATGGTCCCGAAGCCGTCATGTTTAGTTCTAATTAAGCCACCAAATCTATCTGATTCATTGTTTGATAAGTTTGTACACTAACTTTCCTTCGAAGACCCTTCGAGGCTTCTAGAAGCATTGTCGGATGCGACATAACCATTAATTGAAATTACATGATTACCAAATCAAGCTAGTGCCCTTTTATTTTCTATTTATTTTCTGATATCATAATCCGTTAATTTTTTTGCTTCCCTCTTGTATCCCTCTCATTAAAGGGCATAGAGCACATCCTTTTCAACAGTCTGATCACACTAATCTTTGGCATCTTGATCGAATGGGTGAACAAGTTTTGGCGGGTAGCACCCGTCTACTTTGCCGGCGTCCTTTTGGGCTCCCTGACATCTTCAGTATTTGATCCTTACGCAGGCTTGGTCGGTTCCAGTGGCGGTGTTTATGCCATTCTGGGCTCCCATCTCGCGCTCGTAATTATGAACTGGGAAGAAATGCAGCACGACTGGACCAATTGCACCACAAATCCTCTAGCATTTATGGCCTCTGGCGTCGTCCGGCTGGTTGTTATCCTAATAATTCTCATAGTCGATTTCGCCTTTGCACTTTATCGGCGCTACGCTCTGCAGCAACTTCAAGTGATCAGTTTTATGGCTCATCTGGGCGGTTTCCTGGCCGGAATACTTATAGGAATCCCCATTCTGCGCAATTTTGATCGACGACCATGGGAGCGTATCCTATTCTGGGTTTCCCTTACGCTATTTATTGTCCTAGTTATATTTGCCATTTTATGGAACATTTTCTTCCCAAATTTTCCACCCCAAACTATCTGAATGCATAGTTTATGCAAAAATTGTGGAAAAGTGAGATAAACTTATTATTCCACACTGAGTGGATCCTATTTTCTAATTTGTTCAGGCTCAGTGTTTTCTCTTTTATCTGTGCAACTCATGTTGCATACCAGAATATTATCGATGCTATGATCCCCTTATGCTTCTTCAACCAAGCTTTTTCTGGTCCACATTGATAAGCTCATATAGCCAAATAGACAGTCGATCCTTCCCCAATTTAGGTATCAAATACCCATTGGTTCCGGATTTTGCAGCCTTTTAATTAATATGTATTTACACTCGGAAGAAATTCCGCGAATTGTAAAGTAAAAAGCGGGCCATTCACTTGATAAAAGCACGCGTTCTTGTATAATCATGTCCAACAATCCAAAATCTACTGCATTGTCGCTTTTACGTTGACAGTAGAATAATGAAGAAATAATTATAGTTCAACCAGTTATTATTATGCTACTTATATATAATAAAGAGTAGTAAATTGCTTCATAGACCTTTTATTTCGTACAATATCTAAGCTAAGCAAAATAATATAACGTATGCTCATGCTTAATGTAACGCAGCAACATAAAAAAGGGCGTTAAAAAATATTTGCAAAAGTTTACGGATTCATTACATCTGGACAAATGACGTGCCCACTATTAGTCGTATTGGAGATGCCAGATAGATAGTAATAGGAAATGGATTTTTAGTAATCCCTTGATTAATTGAGGCTGTGGTAACTTTCATTTCGTTTTGAATTGTGAGACGAAAGAATTCGTGCATCGGTCTCGCTGATTAATCAATGAGGATTGCCTGATATATACATATATATATATACATACGAATAACTCAACGGACTCGCCCACGACTCAGATGGATCTATCCTAATATTTCTTGCGTTATGTGACAACATCGTCATGGCGAAAGTTTAAAGTTTACGAACAAGAACAACAATATATTAAAGCAAGAGAAAAAGTCGTTAGTTGCAAACCTACTCATCTCTCAAACCCAATTTTCTATCTTATTAAGGCGTCCCGCACAATGATTGGCTACTTCATGCTAACCCTTGAATGAAGTCGATCCAGGAATAGGATGTGGATTTAGTCCGCCCTGTTTACTTTGAGAATTGCATAAGCTTTTGATCTTAAAACATTAACAAAATTGTAATCATATAGTTGTACTTGTATCGCATGTATGCAAAGTTGATCTGATATGAGCAGAAATGTCCCCAGCCAGATTGGAGGCTATTCAAGCTTCCTCCCAATACTCAGTGGTTCTTTGCCTCCCTCTCCTCACGCCTAACCAAAAGCCACAGATATTTCCAATAATTTCTTACACTTGTTCCTCCTATTCAGGATGTTATTTGTTCTGTTGATCTCAATCGACTCCCTGACTTTTAACTTCGATGTCAAGTTCCCATATCCTGTCGAAAAGATATAGGTAAGGGGAGGGAATAAGAAGAGCCACCGAGTAAGAGGGCAAGGCTTGACTAACCTGGAATCTGGTTTAGGACCCAAAATTGCCAACTAACTCGTGAGTACTGAATACGCACAACGCACACGCATCCACGACGTAAAAACTATGCTCAGGATTACAGGATTTTACGCTAGTTAATGTACGTTAATAAAAGTTTTGACCACATCTGCTACACTTCCTGTCGGCCACCTTTCCTGGTTTAGTGATTTTGGGTGAGTGTTAGTGAGTGATGATTTCTGGCCCTGACGATATCCGTCACATGACAGACGCAAGTTCAGCACGGATTCATCAGGGTCGTAGGGTTGTGAGTCGAGGTCTTGTTCGTACAATTCAATAGACAAAAGGCTAAAGCAACCCTCCTTCGGTATCCGGTGTGGCCAATTTGCGAATCTCTTCTACCCATCTTCTCAAACGAAATGAAAGATATGCCAGTATAACTATTCTCTTTTGTTGGTTAGGCTTAAAGAAAAGGAGGGAAAGATGGCGTAAGTAGAAGTGTTAGCAGAAGGCGGAGGTCTGAATTACCTCGAATCTATTTAGGGCCTAATATACCACTAAGTATACACACAATACACTTACAACCATATGACTAAACTTATGCCAACATTCTAGGATCAAACAATAGTTTATTTATCGAAAGGAGCGGCTGTGACCACATCCATATACTCCTCTTGTATTAGTTTCACTCAATAAAAGCAAATATGGTATATAGGAAGTAGCCAAATAAATAATTGGATGAGAAATTCGATCATATTTCCAGGGAAAGCTCGATGAACGAACCTTGTGCAGATTATCCGGAGTCAAGCCGTGGACTTTGTACATTCCAATAAATTTCGCCAGCATTGTCAGTATGCTCGTCGTTTTGCTAATGATGGTATGTTTGCGACAAAATGTAAAACTAGAGAAGCCATAGAAATAAACCGAATAGGAAATACATTGAATGTAAGGAATACCGGCAAGGAGATAAGTAAAAGCTATTTGTGCTTAATTAATAGATTCAATTATAGAGAAGGAGTTAAGAAGCCCGCAAAAAAGAGGCGACGCAACTAGTCTTTTCTTGTCTTGGTTCTAATCATAGTCACTTCTCTGTACTTTTAGCTCACTCTTTATCTCTCGCATTGATACCAAAACAAAAAAAAGGCTCAGCAACAAAACCAGACGAGTGTCCGACCTTGCGCAATCGTAGTGATGGTTACAACATGTATGTAGAAAGCGGGAGATATGGGTCATCAAACCTTGATTTACCAATAACAGACGTTCTTTTTTGCTGTCCTAAATACTTTGAGCCATCACTGCGGGTTTCGTGCATAAGCGAATACAAACAGGCGCATGCACATACAGAGACAGACACAATCACAGTCATCGAAGTTGACATATCACCTTAACTAACCAAATCATTTTATACTTGATCAAAGAGGCCAGATGTAGGGTATATATACCAGTTTTTAGGGATTTGCCGGTGAGTTTTCTTGATTCGTTAGCTTGAATTTTGTTGTGACGATGATACCTTGCTCTGATGATGTTCGTCATATGACGGACGAAGGCTTAGCACCTTTTCACTGGAATCAAAGGAGATTACCTCGGAAACAGCGTCAACATGAATATTCTAGTAACGCCAATCGACAGCTGGTCAAGAGGAATCCGCCGTCGTCTTCTGC